TTAAGCGTGCTAGAGTCAAAATTGTGTGCGTTCAGATTGGAGAAAATCTGAGTCAAGATCTTGTGAGGATAGCAAGCGGGACATCTCTAGTCTTTGGGCAATCTGACATTGAAGGCTTGGTAGGGACGATTCTTGACATGTGTGGAGAAATGTGCGGTAAGAGTGAGTTTAAGGGGTGATTTGGTCAATTGTAACTTTAAGGGCACCTTCCACTTTATAATGGCTTCAGGAAGCGAGTTGATGATCAGATTAGTATTTAGCAATAATGGATGAGGCTGAGTATGACATTAAGAAGTACTATGCAGATCCCGCAGGGTGTTATTCGCCTCGGCCAATATTACCCTCCAAGACCTGAAAAAAATTCGCATTCAATAAATATTTTATCATTCATTTAAAAATATTCCATAACAATGCTTGCCTCGATCGAAATGTCTTCTTCAAATAGCAGCTGAGGGTCTCAATGGGGTGGTAGCTCCGACGGTTGACAACGGTTAACAGTTATTTTTAGACCTTGTATAAGTGGAAATTTACTACGAGAGTTTTAGTAAAGATTAACTTCTATATATATATTTATATTAACAAGTGTGTTTTGGAGGTTGTCTTGACCTTTCACTTATAAAATTTTGAAATAATTTCAGATATTAGCAAGTTTCAAGGTCTGCAAGGAGTCGGTTTTAGAGAACATAGGAACTGGTTTTCTAGTTTGGAGATTCTTCAGTAGCCAGAAGTCCACGAAGATCAGCTGAAATACTAAAAAAAAACAAGATTTGAAATGCCTTAAAATGCTGGTGGTTAATATCAATCTGCATTTTTGACGGGTGACGATAAAAAATTACCTTTTTAGGCCGTTTGACGGCTGACGGTTAATCCCAATTGCAGTTCTCATCTGTCGAGTGGTATTCATCTGTTATTGCTATGTTTTTGGGTAATGTTCCGCGGCTATTTCCTCTTCGCAGAACTTGTGAAACTTATTCGCCATTTTCTTCAGCTCTACCAGCGGAGCTACCTGGCCTTTTGATGTTCCTTAACTGTGCAAGTGACTCATCCTTGATGATATTGGGGAACATCTTCAGAAATGGCCAACGATAGCTGGTTAAGAAGAATAAGCCGGAAAATTTAAGTCGTTCGAAAACGGAGAAATATTTTGAACGAATGAAAATATCGATTACTAGTCACTACTAGTAAGAGCTGATTCGAGGGGAAAGATTTTCACCGTTTGGTATTGTGATGACTTTTTGTTGAAGCTATTAGTCACCATAAGAGTGAAATATATTTATTCCCTCAGCAGTTATGGAACCATTATAAAGTCAAAAGGAAAGCATACAATATATTTTTTTTTGTAACAAATTTCCCCGAAATTATATCCATATTTGAATTATTACGACTTTTACAATCCCTTTCCGTTGGTGGTTTATTATACGTTGACAAGTTTAGTCCTTTAATTTAGCGCGTGGGTTTTACACCTGTCCAGGTTATTAACACAGTGTTTGGGTCTCTCTCCTGGTTAATTAATCAACCGACGCGGTTCTATAAAGTTCAGTGTCAACATAATATGTAACATTTTGTAGCAGTCTGCGACATGACCAGAAGTTGTCTTGGTCGGACGTATTCATGCAAGTGAGACACCACATATGTTTCAGAAAATGGTCTAGTCCATTATGTCTACCAAGTGAGACACAGAAGTCGCCGGTAATGTTCCAGAACATCTCTTTGAAAACTAAGCTAAAGGTGTGCCTACAGCAAAACATTCGCTTACCCGTGAGATGACTGAGATGTATATTTCAAGGCATGGGTGTGAATGTTTCCAGTTTTAACGTTTTAACAAATCAGTTGTCTGCTTTTATTTTTTAGGAAAGATGGGAAACTCTTCAACTCTACCCGCGACCACTGCGTTGCCACCACCAGCGAAAACGTCATTTCCTGCAGTGGCTCCTCAACTTAGACCTGTACAAGTGTCCGCGCCTGCACCCTTTCCAGCACCAATCCCCGCTCCCTTACCCGCGCCAGCGCCCATACCCTCACCCTTACCGGCGCCGATGCCACAGACATCACCATATCCAGTAGCACCTGTCGTCCCGCCGGGCGCATGTCAGGTTCCTCAGTGTACTTTCCCTTCAGTTTGCATCACAGCTGAAATCTATCAAACGTGCGTCGCTCCTACGTCGTCATCCACTGGCAACACCACTTGTTCAACACCTGGTCCGTGTCGTACCACCCTTACCATGACAGCAACAGACATAACAACTTTGACCAACACCCAGACATCAACAAGCACCGAGGTTGCCACCATTACAAGCACGGATACAGCGATACAGACAAGTACAGCGTATGCCACAAAGACTTATACTCAAACTGATGTGTTGACTACTACAAGCACTGAGGCCGTTACAACCACTCATCATACCACAGAGACCAACACGGCTATTTTGACCAGTCACGTACCTGTTACGAAAACTTTGACTACCACCAGTACTGATGTGGTCAACACTACAAACATTGATACTCTGACCAGCACTGCAACAATTAATACTACCAACACTGCACTAGTTACAAGCACACGGTATGAAACTAAGACGAATACAGCTGTGGCGACAAGTACTGCAACAGTCACGTCCACTGCTGTTGTCAAAGCTACCACTACACTGACCACAACAAGCACTGGAAGGGCAACGAGTACCTTAGTAACCACGGCAACTAAGACAAACATTGTCAACGCAACTCAATATGCCACTGAGACTCTAAAAAAGATTTTGACTACCATAGCAACCTCGACCAGTGTAGTTACAACATGTAGCGCCAACTGTACTATGATAGGTAATTTTATTTTTATTTTTGGAACATAGTTACTTATACCTAAGATGTTTGCAGCCAACTGAAACGGAAGCGTTTATTTAAAGTATAAATTCGTGCGCGTTCTGAAAGTCACTGGAATTTTATCACAGGCGCGCAGTCCAGACTTCTGTGGGAGAGAGCGTTTTTTTTGGCTGCTATTTTGCATTTTGTTGATCTCAAAACTTTTGTTCATTGTTTACTAGTAAAGGTAATCAAAAACCACTTACCATATGACTACCTTATGCTTTTTTCGGGGTCTCCATGACATGTCCATCTTTTCGAAGAGCACTGAATAGCATCAAGTGTCTTGGATGTGTCGTTATGATTTCTGACCTAACATTCCCCATACCTCGCGTATGTTGCCATTTATCCATAACAAGTAATCGGTTTTGTTCTTTAAAATTGTAATTTTTCTTTTAGGACCTTCACCGACGTCTACATCCTCTGTAACGCCATCTGTAATAGGAGAACAAGGCAAGCCAGTACTATTATTCTTGAAAAAAGGGAATTTTGTGACGAGGTCATAAAAATTGCATAATTAGTCGTACGTTGGATTGTGAAGTTATGCAACTAACCAATATTACGAAAAGCATGTGTTTTAAGTCAATTTTGGGTTCTGTCGCTGTAGCAGCAATGCTAAAGGTACTACACTGACGGGTAAAAAGCGGTCCTTTAAAGAAATACCGATAGAGTTTCATTCATTCATTCATTCATTCATTCATTCATTCATTCATTCATTCATTCACTTCATTCCTTCCTTCCTTCCTTCCTTCCTTCCTTCATTCATTCCTTCATTCCTTCCTTCCTTCCTTCATTCATTCATTCCTTCATTCACTCATTTCATTCATTCATTCCTTCACTTCATTCCTTCATTCCTACACTTCCTTCCTTCCTTCCTTCCTTCCTTCCTTTCTTCATGCCTTCCTTCCTTCACTGATTCATTCAGTCATTTATTTATTTAGGCCCCGTCAACAAGAATCCGGATATTTTTGAAACTGCAAATTATTTTTATGCGAAGAAGCCCTCGGCCCAAACGAAACCAGTGAATCCACTCACCGAAACTGCATCCTTTGGAAAGCGCTCTCCAGAGTGTTTTAAGGCCCCATCCACACGAATCCGAGTCAAAAATATGCTGATTCAAAAATGTCCCGATTCATGTGGACGTAACTTCATTCATTTAGTGCCTGGTCCCTTTCACTTTTTTTTGTAATTCGAAATTGCAAATCTTCAAAAAAGGTATGTCTGTCGTTTCCCTTTATTCCTCAGGCACATTTCACTTAATCATGTCATTTTGAATAAGTTAATTATTTATGTGGCATACATGTAAATGTCACGCTATCTTCGAACACAGAGAAATAGACAGAAATCAATGATTAACATTCGTCCGTGGGGTGCAAACACTAAGTTGATTGAATTAACCCATCTAAGGTCCCGTCCACCCTAATCTGGATAAACTGAAACCGCACACTTAGGCCCCGTCCACACGAATCACGATAATTTTAAAACTTCATATTTTTCACCCGGATTGGTGTGAATGGGACCTTAAACGACTCTGGAAAGTGGTTTCACAATGATACGGTTTCATTCAATGGTTTCTTGTGGACCAAATGCGAGTCAAAGGCCGAGTCGTGTAAAAAATTCATAATTAAAACATGCGGTATATGAAAAAAGATCCAACTTCGGGTTAGAGTGGATGAGGCCTTAACCAAGTTTGACCGTAAAGCTTGTACCAGTGATAAAGCAGTTGGGCGCTCATCCAGACCTTTAGATATGTAAGAGGGGTTCCGGCCTCAACAGTATTACATCTTGTTACTGCGAGCTTTAGTTTGACCTTAAAACAGGGGCTCTCAACGACCGAACGTTTCCAAATACGTCAGAGGTATCTCAAATGGTTTTCTGTACGCTTTGGAAGCCTGTTTGGTTGATTTGGAGCTGTCTTAAAAACCATTTATGTGTTCTGATATCATTTAAAACGTCTCATTTAAAACTGACATAGTTGAATGAAATGGAGTAGCCGTACTTTCATCAAACTAAGATTCTATGGCAACATTTGTTTTTATATCGAAATTTTCAAGGGATTTTTTTTAACAAAAAGCAATTTCTTGGCGATTAAAAGTGAAAAGCACAATCTCCGAAAACTAAGTACGTAAATAGAAATGCTGAATTTCTTAGGCAAGCGTCACAATGATCCAGACATTTTGAGCCTTTCTCGAGTTTAAGGAATTTGTTAGCAATATTTAATCCTACTTTGCAAATTACAAATCTGGTACGTCGACCAACAAAGCTCTTCTTTGGTTCGAAAGTTATCTTACAAACAGACAACAGTCCACTCGTGTTCTCGGCCCAACGCTTTTCAGCCGGTACATGAATGATCTACCCGAAGTCATCAAGTTTAGTAACACCGAATCTTACGTTCATGACACTAAGATATATTTTTCGTTCGCGTCAAAGGACAATAGGGAGTTTAATTAAGATACGGAGACTACGGACTACGAACTACGGCTGGACGAGCGTTGTCCTTTGTTTGAAGCAGTGGGTTGAGTCGTGCAAATATAGAACGTTAAGATTACACTACAGACAATAGACTACGAGAGTAGAGGCGGAGAGGGAAACAACACGCAAAGATTTTTTTGTTTTCATCACAGTTCACAAAAATGTAAGTCAGTTTTGCATGTGATCTTATCTTTAGAACAATGAACAAATTCTTCCATACTTGAAGGAAGCAATTACGTCGGGTGAAATTGGTAAACAACGTTTTGAGTTACACGGGTTTTATTTTTTCGCCCATGAATACTTGTGTCAAATATTAAAGCTCATTCACTAGATATAGAAGATGGACTTTTCCGACTACTGATCTGATGTAGTTTGAAGTATTGAAATGCCGAGTTTCGATTGTCTCGAAGATGTTTACATCATTTTAATTCAGCAAATGCGATACAAAAACTCGCATAAACAAAGGTTAGACAAGTGGAAAGACACACTAATCAGTGCGAACAAACATTGAAACTTTTCAAGTGCGAAGAGAAAGTAAATTACCTGCATGATTTCTCTTCTCCTCGGCCGTCAATCTGAATTCTGCGTATAAACAGCTATGCGTCTTTAAATATGAGCTTTAATAGCTAGGTAAAAATGTAGTCACAACGGTGGATTAAAAGCGTAAATCTGAGCAGATATTAGACAAAACTTACATATTTCGCTTCCCCCTCACTTAAAGCAGGTGAATTGAAAACTTTCTTACGAAAAGACGAGATTCTTGAATTATCGAGACGGCAAAATACGAGCATAAATGTTCTCCGTAGCCCCGACTACGGAAACAGCTCAACAACTCGCCGTAGCCGCAGGACTACGCGGGAAAAATGAACAGTCACGTGGTTTTGATCATGCGAAGTAGCACGTTTAACCGTAGTCGTAGTCCTTAGTCGCCGTATCTTAAACTCCCTATTGATTCATGTCTACGCCAAGTTACTGAGGATCTCAAACATGTTTCAGAGTAGTGTTGCGCTAACCACCTTCTGATCAATCCTTAAAAAACCATGTTTTTCCTGATTGGGGTGAGGCAACTTATCTCTAAGTTGCCTAGTAACATCACCGTACCTTTCCTTGGTAATTAAAGACGTAGTACCTGTAACTTCCGTCAAAGACCTTGGCGTCACAATTGACTCGAACCTGACCTTTAATGACCATATCTCTTCTGTAATCACTAACCTCATCTTTTGTCAACATTATAAAATAATATAATAATAATAATATAAAATAATAAATAGAGTAGGACACTTGTTCTCTAAAGATGTACTGTGCATAATCCTTTTCCCCTAATATTTAGCCAACTGTTATACCGTTCGACAGTATGGTCTGGAACTTCTAAAGAAAACCTCCATAAACTACAACTCAAGCAAAACCTTACCGGCCGAGTACTTACTATCACAAAAAAGTTTGATGACATTACACCAGTCTTACATGAACTTGGTTGGCTCACCATCGAGGGGCTACTATCCTTACGTGATGTAACTATGATCTTTAAATGTCTCAATGGTCTTGTGCCCAGCTACTTTAGTACTAACTTTGTATAACGCTCAGAAACTCACTCTTATTGCACTAGAGAGAACAATCAACTTAACCTCTCTCAGTGCCGAACCTCCGCCGCATAGTGTGCCTTCCGTTTCAGGGCGTCTAAATATTGGAACAGTCTTCCCAATGATATTAGAAACTCTGCCTCTATTGAGGTAAAAGGAGTGCCAGGCTTGAGATAATCAGAAGGCGGAAATAGAAAATTTATCTATATTTTATTGATCTTTGTAATTAATTGTTTATTAGCTTTTTAATTTTTTATAATTGTAGTTCTAGCATTCAAATTTAATTGTCTTTTATACAATATGTAATTTTTACCTATTTCGCACATTATACTTAGTGAATAATCTTGTAAATTAATTCTGAAAACCCAACTGAGAGAATTATTAAATGTATTGTATTGTATATTTGCTCCTCGGAACAGTTATTCACAGACAAAAGTCGTTGGCTGCCCCTGTTAAAATAAAGTGAGCTCCCCGCCAGTCGGGCCCCTTCCCTAGATCCATCATTATATACGGTAATGCCATATAGATAAATAGAAGTTTTTTACTTAAGACAGGTTGCACCACCAACTATACCAAACTCGGTTGTTTCAAAGATGGAAGGAACCCTCGACCATTACCTGAGCTCCTTTTTACTGATCGCGATGCCCAAAGCAAGGTATCGAGTAATAAGACCATCGACTGGAACAACTGGGATACATACATAGTTGACTTGGTTTGTAGATGTGCTAACGCGGCAAAGGCTAAGAAGTACTCCCACTTTAGCATCCAATATTTTGGTAAATGTCAATATTATTGTTAAAATCGTAGTGATTTCCTTTTAGCAGATTATTAAACTGAGATAATTAAGCCTCAAGAATTTATATGATGGTTAAAGGACTTCCTGATGATGCCGCGACAACACAGTCGGTATAATCCAAATTTTTGCCCTTCCTTTTTTCCTAACCAAACCTTAAACCGACTATTTTGAATCTCTAAAAGCTAATTACCGTCGGTATTTACTCGAAAAACCACGTCAGCGCGTATTAAGATCCTGGATTAAATTTTTGCCGTTTCGACTCTCATTCGGCTGCCGCGTTTATTCAAAACTAAGTGTTGATGCAATCAACAGTAGTACGTTATCTTTCCACTTTTTCGAGGTTTTATTGTAAGAAGACAACAACACAGCATTGTAAGCAACAAGAACATTAAAAACAATCAGCATTAAAAATTTTAGAGGTGGGGAGCTTCGTTTTGGTTATTGCGAAAGAGCAGCCTCTCGTCTTTGCGAGGGGGCAGCATATTAATAAGGTCGTGCGCGAAGGTTCCAAGGCAGAAAAATGAATCTCGAAGGGGTGTGACAGAAAATAGTGTAAAGAAAATTTTATGAAGTAATGCAGAAAAGAGAATATAAGGAAAAGTATACAAGGTAAAGTCAGTATTTCTAATTCGTTTTTTGAGAGGATTCGAAGTTCGCTTATAAGACCACTAAATTTTACGCAAAATGACCTGTGTGTAACTTCGGACAATGACGAATTTCAATATCTCGAAAAACTTGCTATGTAAAGTTGGGATTTCAAATTCTTTATGCAGTACATCAGTTCCGTTCACTGTTTTTATGTTAATTTTTGCTTATGCAATCGAATAGTGTTCCAACTATTTTTTGTAAATTAAGGTAATTCTTGACATTTCTAAACAAATTGAACAGGGCGCGGGTATAGGTAAAATCGTTGCTCGTTGGCACTTAGCGATAACTATAATTAGTTTAGTACTAATGGTCTTACAATAAACACGGGCAGTTCTAAGTTGAATTACGTTTCTCTCGAAAACAAACTAACAGGTTTTTCTACCAACGAAAATAAGGTTAGCAATGTTAGCGTTGGATGTGTCATTGAAAAAGTTGAACTTCTGTTATGTGTTTTAAACGATTAATGGTGGAGATGTTGAGAGAACATTTGAACAGGGCTCCTAAATGATTAATTTAATGTTCATGTTATTATGTGTTTTGCTTGATAGGTGAGTGTTGGTCTGGACCAGATGCCGCCGAGACATACGATAAAGATGGCCCGTCTGAAGAATGCTTCACGAAAGGTTCTATGCAAAAATGTAATGTCACTGATAATGTAGAGTGTGTTGGCGACCTTAACACCAATTTCGTCTATGGAATCAATGTGAAAGGTAATTACAACTTTTCCTCGGAATTCCTAACATAAACTCGCTGATCGAATATCAAACGAGCACCACTACTGAGAAATGTTATGGACTAGGAGCAACCTCTCCATTTCGAGGGGCAAGCGAACTGATCCTTTCTTTCCCTGCTCCTTGCTCTCTCTTGCCAAATGTGCGTGACTACTCTCGATATACTAAATGGAGAGCTTGCTGGCAGGCTCGAAATGTTAAGATTTCCATCATTGTGAGAGATAGTTGCATCGTCATCATAATGGCTTTGTCAATTCCAAGCGTGTCCTTCACCCCAAAGACATTTGTCAATTGCTGACACCTACTTTGACTCTCGACATCTGCGCTGAAGCGAACAAACCAGCTTTATAGCTGTGGGGGGAGGGAGGCGAGACAAATGGAGGGACTGTCGTAACATTACTACTAATGATCCCTGCAGCTCACTTTTACGGAGCGCGTTGTTCCAGCAACGCTGACATTTGATTAGTCATTAGAAAATAGGTGTTAATTTGTGTTGACCGGCAACAAGTTGCCAACACTGACAAGTCTAAGTGTTCGCCTAACTTTTAATTTTTTTTTTTTTGGATCTTCATCTTTTTGGGCCAACGAAACTGGTGGAGGAATATATTTATTTCCGATTGGCGTGAAATAGGGCAGACTTTTCTTGACCTTTCATGGAGGAGGTATGATGATAAGACCGTTTGCTCGCAAGTATTATCTTCAACCCGATGCTATTGCGAATTTGCAAGGCAAATTTTGCAAACACACGCAGGATTTTTGGTATTTTGAAGATCAATCACGCAAGCCCAATGCTTTTGTTGCAGCCCGGCCAGGGAAATGTTGTTATATTCCAGAAATCTAGGAGTTTTGAATAAAGAAACATTGTTTTTGCCAAAGGAATTGAAATGAACGCTACAAATAACGTGTCAGAAATTCATGGCTTTTTATCAGGAGTTTTAATCATTTTAATTGGTGTTGAAGAGAGCAGGCTTTCACGTAGATTGGGGAATGTTCAACTGTGTATGTTTTCCGATTTTATTTGGAAAAAAATGTTTTTCTAGTCACTGTATTTATAATTGCTGTTTCGAAAGGAGATGTTTGCAAACATGCGAAATCGAAGCTAAATGTGTCGGGTATGTTTTTGACGGTAAGGAGAGGTTTGTTAATTAATGACTGGTAATAAGACGTGAAATTCCTGTCACGTCCCCTGCCCCTCAAAAAGACAACTTTGAAGCCAATCTCGCCGTCACCAATCCTTTACTTGGCTCTCCGTCCAAGTAGTATACTTGTGACCCTCTTGTGAATCCAGAATTTATGCATCTAACCACTTACATATGCAATTCATCCCAAACAGATGCTTTTTTCTAGGTTTTTAACAGCGCTTTTTCCTTCATTTCCAGCACCAAAACCTCGTATTTCGGAAGCAACTCCATCGCTTCCATCCTTGACGGCCGTTACCACGCCTCCGCCTGTAATCAGTGAGTTGCCTGTCGTACAGACAGGGAGAACATTTATATTAAGAGGCCTTCAATCATGATCTTAATAGTTTTAATTTCTGTTTTTTTAATCCCAATAAATAAATCTATTGCTGTCTCCAACAGCTACAGTGTAGTTCACATTATCAGGAAATAATTTATGTTGACACTTTTTTGATTCTTTCCTTCTCTTTGCTCAATTGGAAATGAACGTGACTTGGCGATCTGAAGTAAAGCATCGATAGCCTTCTATTTTGTCATCCCATTCTAAAAATACTCTCACGCCCAGGTCTTAGCCAATAGCTAAAGGAGAATCATTGTATTGCTTTATATTGCAGCTTTTACTTATTTGCCAATAGGCTAAGCTAACACTGAAAACGCTTCAAATTTTTACTTCGATGGGTGGTACAAGATTTATAATTTAAGTTATTTTAGCAACTGCTAAATCTGTGTATCCAGAGTGGGACTGTCAGGTTTTAGTTTAAGGTTCTCTACTCTGTATAGCAGCGAAAGTCATTTCAAATGGGACATCATGCAAAACAATCAGGTATCGGTAAGTAAGGTTAAATGGTCTTCCCTGTTCAGTATATACTGTACACAAAACAAGTGTCCGTACCGTTTGATAAATGTAAATCTCGTACATGTGTAATCATGAATCATGAACCCCAAGGTGTTATCAGAAAATAGGACTACATTAGTGCTGAAAGCACAGAAAACCCTAAGAAACCAAATGATTCGAAACTCGATGTTCCACGTATCCTAACCATATCACAAAAAGCCCTCGGCTCCATAATCACTATTTCTTTTTTTATAATAAGGTATTATTATTATTGTTATCATTATTATTATTATTATTATTATTATTATTATTATTATTATTATTATTATTCTTGACTCGATTTTGCTTGCAGTGCCTACTCCAACTCCTTCAAGCACACAAATCATACCTAGTACTTCAGCTGCACCTCCTCCCAATATCTTAAAAGGCAAGTTATTTTATTATGCGAAGAAGCAAGTGTCTAAAATTACAACAACACCGACCACTGGAAGATGAAAACTGGTATTTGTAGAATATCTGCTAGAATAAGACAGGAATTTTACATTTCCAATCGAAAATTAGTTGTTCAGTACTGCAATTATTCTCCAAATAGCAGATGTCCGTCGAGTTGTCTTGCTGTTCTTGTTATGTTTTTAGCTAATAGTTCACTTATTTCTTCGTTGTGAGACGAGTGAAATGTTCCGCCATTTTGTACACACTACCAAGGCAACTCAATCTCGTGCCCTGGTCGTCTCGGTTAACAGCTCATTTTTCTGGCAATTATTCTGCACAGTTGACGTCATTTTTCACATTTCGTAAATAGCCCATTTTCACGATGACACCATTTTACTACTACGACCAGATTTCTTCAGAGTTTTGCTTTCTTGTGCAAATTAGGGCTTTTGTTATTTAAACCTCGCTGTGATCACAAAATTTAAATATGAAAAGAAAAACGAAAAGGGTTCTGGTCGTAGTAAAATGACGCCATTGTGCAAATGGCCTATTTGGTCGACAGCAGCTGGTAGTGATGAATTACGCGTGGAATTTTAGCCAATCATAAACGGGGAAATATCTTGAGTAATTAATAATAGCAATTATTGTTCACCGTTTTGTGGAGGATGTAAACAAGTAACGGCAAAATTGTTCTTAGGAATTCAACTCCAGAAGAGTTCGCCTACAATTGACAAAGTAATTAAATGAGTTGGAATAAACACAATGGAGATTGGAAGATCGGCAATTCACTTTTGAAGCGACGTTTTCGCTGCTTTCTTCGCCATCAGATCTTTAAAAGGTCCCAAAATGTAAAATTAAGGCTCCTAAATACATTAAACACCCGCATATAAGAACAAATGGATTAAGAACATCAGGCTCAAATTTGGCCCATAAAACATTATATCTATAAGAACCAGCTCAGCCTGATAAATTAAATTGTTCTTATATAATAGGAAGAGAGTGTCGGAATAAGGAAACAAAATCAGTGGAACTTATATTTAAGTATGGTAGTCTGTTCGACATTACACGAAAGTTAGAAAGACAGCCGAGCTGTCTAAAAGTTCTGTCAAATGCAGCTGCTGTGGTAAATCATTCAAAGGCAAGCAATATCTTGACAGCCACGTGAAATTTAAGCACTGATAGCCGAGAAGGGATCACAGCAGGGCTCAAGATTTGGAAATAATATGTCCTCTAACATCGACAACTTGCGCTCGACCACCTCACCGAATGAGGCAGATGCTTACAGTTCACATCTGCTTGAAGATCAATCGTCGGAATCCGTTCCTATTGCTAACTAAACTTCTAGAAACATGTTATCTGTAGTATTTTTGAAATAAGAACATATTAAGAACATCTTTAGGTTGATTTCCCACCAAGTACCCGATAAATAAGAACTAAATCAGCTTTAATCCCGAAACCATGTGTTCTTATATGCGGGTGTTTACTGTATACTAATGTCTTTTCCATTCTTTAAGATAGGTTGTAACATCACATATACCAAAGTCGGCTGTTTTAAGGATGACAGAAAGAAGAAAAGGCCATTACCTGATATTCTTTTTACTGACCGCGATCCTTCAATGAAGAAGAAGTGGAGCGGGTATAGAATCGACTGGAAAAACTGGGATGAATACATAGTTGATGTGGTGTGCAGATGTGCTAATGCGGCAAATGCAAAGAAGTACTCTTATTTCAGCGTCCAGTATTATGGTGATTATTTCTCAGTGTTCACTTGTTCCTTTTACATTATCAATAATTTTAAACTAATCAAACCTTTAATACCACAAGTCAGTAAACCTGGAGAATTTTGCGAAAGTGGCCTCTTTCAGTCACAGTCCAATCAAAACATGTTTGCATGCAAATTAGTTTTGGCGTAGAGCATTAAACCTCTTTGTTTTAGGCCTGTTTCAAATGTCGAATTGCCTTTTTATGTGCTTAATTCAATGCCTATGGAGCCTATTCACATGACGTCACGGCGGCCATATTGGTGTTCCAAAACAATGAAACGGCGGCCATATTGGTGTTCCAAACAAATCCTGAGGGAGTTGAACTCTTTTCATAAGTAAAAAATTTCTTTTTTTCCCATGAATTTGCCTAGATACTGGGCACGTGGGTGAATACGTGTTATAAAGCGTTTTCACTCAAGTGGCCAGAATCTATGCAAATTTTTTGAAAAAAAGGAAAGCGTTTGCATAAGAAAGGAGTTGGCCGCCGTTTCATTGTTCCCAAAACAATGAAACGGCGGCCATATTGGTGTCCCAAACCAATCCTGTGAGAGTTGAACTCTTTCCTTATGCAAACACTTTTTTTTGCCCCAATAAATTTGTATAGATGCTAGCCACGTGAGTAAAAACGCTTTATAAGGAAAATACATTATTTTCGCAAATAGCCCACGTTCGATATATTAGAATTCTAAAAATTCTAACATGACTCCGAGGCTTTCTGTTAATTTTTTTGTATTTGGATTGGTTTTCTTTGCTATCAAGTCTCTTCTGGGAATTGCGAGAGAATGGAGTCGGAAAAAATTTGCAGTTTTGACTCTAAATCTCTGAGTCATGTTAGAATGTTAATAGGGCCATTTATACGAGGAAAAATACGACCATGTCGTTCTAAGACGAGAACAGCTCGTATAAATGGTTCGCGTCTTATTTCTGTTCTTGACTCGTTTTCCTGTGAATGTTGCCTGTAGCATCGGCAATCCAACGTGGCGCGCCAGAAATTAACGCATGCGTATTATGCGTTCGCGTCTTATGTAAGACGCGAAGGTCATTTATACGAAGATTTTCTCGTCTTAGCTAAGACGCCTCTTCTCTAAGGACAGGTGTTAAGGGCTGTTCTAAAATAAGACGCGTCTTAGCTAAGCCACGTCTTATCTTAGACGAGATGATCGAAAGTTCGCGTCTTACTTAAGACGCGTCCTATGTAAGACGCGTCTTATTTTTCCTCGTATAAATGACCCTAATATATCGACCGTGGGCTAATATCATTCGGCACTTGTGAAGTAGGATGTTTTTAGGGCTTTTAAAAGGTATATGCAATTTTTGTACTGCGTCAGGTTGGCATAGGACCTCGTTGACTTTTGCGTAAGGTGAACAAATTTTGTTCAGTATATATATGGTCAATATACATGAAACATTTATGAGATTATGAAACTCTTGTTAGGTGAATGTTGGTCTGGACCAGAAGCCGCTGACACATATAACCGAGCTGGCAAGTCTAAAAAATGCGTCACGAAGGGAGTCAATGTGCCGTGTAACCTCAACGATAATGTAGAATGCGTTGGCAAACAAAACACCAATTTCGTCTATTACATTACTCCTAAAGGTAACTCTGTTTGTAAAATAATCATGGTCGACGCACCTTAAGGTGTTTCGATACAATTTTTCCCCCAATTTTTTTTCATTCGATTGGTAGCAGAGCACCATGGGTAAGAAAATCAAGTAATCTACCCATCCGAGAAAATTTGGTAATCACGTAACCATACGCCCGCTTGTCCGTCCCCCCGCACCACAGGACAACCAATGTAAAATAACTCAATCAAAAGGTATGGTAACCCAAATGCAACTCGAGGTTATTTTGGCGGGAAATCGCGTAACCACCGGCGTCTTGTAAAGCCGAGACAACTAAAGAGTCAATAAAGACGAAAACGGAATGCGGAAATTGTTTCTGTATCCGTGTTGTCTAAAGTATTCAGCTTAGATTAATTGTCATGTCCACAAATTTGGAATATAGAGCAAGAGAAAGACAGAGAAAAAGAGAAAAGAGGCGGTTGTTTTTACCTTTCTCCGGCGTTGCCTTCGCCGCTTAGCATTACACGATTTTATATTTTGTTTTTGAACGAACTATGAATGTTATCGAGAGCTTCGCTTTAAGCCCTGGCTACATGATCTATTGAGTAAAATCCAAAAAGTGGTCTATTATTAATGCTGCGTTCTGATTGGTTGAGCTACTACCTAAGAATTATTCCTCGAGCCCGAATGGGCTCCTAGTCAATAGCCCATGAGGCCGAAGGCCGAATGGGTTATTGACTAACAGGCCATGAGGGCGAGAGGAATAATTGTTTTAGTAAAATCCAACTAGTTGGTCAAAAATATCGAGAATAAAAAAGGTTTAGCTAGTTAAAGCTAGACTTTAATCCTTTTTTGCCGCCAAAGAGCCTGCACTTTTCGCTACTAGTGGGCTATAACATATAGCCTAGTAGTAGCTCAACCAATCAGAACGCAGCATTGATAATAGACCACTAGTTGGATTTTATTAATAGGCTATATGTTATGGCCTACCTAGTAGCGAAAAGCGCGCGCTTTTTGGCGGCAGAAAAGGATTAAAGTCTAGCTTTAACTAGCTAAAATTTTTTTATTCTCGAAATTTTTGACCAACTAGTTGGATTTTACTAAAACAAAAAATCAAATCTCCGTAGGGCTTGGTCTTGGCCTCTTCCGCAAGGCTCTTACATGTAGCTAACCAAGACAGGTTGAGTGTTTAATATCTTTCCGTTCATTAGAATCTTGGAACCGTTGCACGTGAACATAGTGCACATGGCTTCCATTTCCTATTGACCACTCCAGAATATACCATAACATATCATATATCTTTGTTTTTCTCTTTGTTTGTCACCCCGAAATTTTGCAGAAGCATTTTTTTCAGTTTCTCCCGGGCCATGTTAACTCCCAAGAGAAACTGAAAACAATACTTATACTAAATATTGGGGTGACACACATAGAGCATTATGGTATGTTATGGTATTTTCTGGAGTGGTCAATTGGTCAAGTGCGTTCTCAAGTGTGGTGTAGACCACACTTGGCGACGAACTTCGGCTTTTTTGAACTACGAACGTTTCCGTGGTCACCCAGTAAAGTTGAAGTGGGCACATTTTAACCCTTCACACTCAAAATAGGTTCCAAGTACACTTAGATTATACTTGATAGCTCTAGTGTAAGGCCAACAATCGACAATATTCGCACCGAAATGTACTATTCATGGAGGTATGTATGGTCCGCATTTATTTGGAAAAATTAGCACAACGTAACAGTAAATGTTTTAACCCGGAGTTTTGGGCGTTTCGTAGGCCAAGTTTGTAAAAATTACGTGATGAGGTTTAAAAAGCATTTTGTCAAGCTGTTCAAGAGATATACAGAAAAGCGTTAAAAGTCAAAATTTAGAATAAAGCTGCATTTAGACAAGTGGTGACAGAAAACAGTTGAGTTTTCAGGATCGTATGAAAGAAAGTACACCAAATTTTCCAAGCAGCAAAATATGATATTTGTAAGCATTCTGACGCTACTTAGGATTGATTTGAGTTATTTAGAACTTTTTCTATGAAAAATATATCACGGCTATTGAAAATGTCAGGTTTGAAATATATTTACGTTTAATTTGAATTCAAACAAACGGAATTTTTTATTTCTCGCGGAGGTTATTTGCTAAATACCCCGTTTTAAGTTCCTGGTGTAGGATTTTCAGTAGCAGGTGAAGATTTCGCAAAATTCGGCTTTTATCGATTTCCATTTTTTTTATTGTTGACACACTGATATTGATTTAACTTAAAACTACATTTTGACAAACTTCAATGCAAAATCAGTTAGTGGTTAAAATTTCATAGCGATTGGATAAGATCACTTTTAAGGCGAATGAAAAATATTGGTATGGTCTCCAAAAAACTGTATCGAAACACCCTAAGTAGTCGGGTATTTAGAAACTAAAATACCAAACTACATGCAACACTCGCGTCACAGGTAAAACACTTGTCACAGGCACACCACTCGTCACAGGTACAAACAAACGTTAGAGAATCAACACTACAGGTAGAATAATAACGCGAACGCCAAAATGAGAATTAATTACCTTACAACTCTCTCAAATGGAACGCACAAAAATTTGGCAAAGCATTGTTTTAGATGTTTTTTCTTCATATATGTCCCAAAGATTGACCCTCTTCATAGGCGACTAACAGGAGCACGTGATCAGTTATTTAAAGATAACTGCGCACAAAAATGGCTAAGATGCAGCGGATTGTTCGGATAAAAAAGACAGAAAAAATGAAGATTAAGCCGTCAAACGGATATGTTTTTGGATATGTTTTTTATTATGTCCAGGGCTCATAAACCGCGTTTACGGTTCATTTTTAGTGTCACCTGAACTACCTGCAGGCCAAACAGTACCTCCAACCCTGCCTGTCACGTTGCTTCCTCCGGTGTCGAAGGGTAAGTAAAAAATGGAGCTTAAGTGCCAGTTGGTTTAAACAAACGACTTGTAGTCTGATGTGATAAATTCAGTTACAGATTGCTCGAGACTGTAACGAAAGTACTCTGATAGACTGTTCAGAGTCGCCTATTTTCCCGTAAGTTCTTAGAGATCGACCACTTTGCTTTGACAGGCGGCCATAAAGCAAGATGGCCGCCCGTATCTCTCCTGACGATCTTACGAAAAAATAGGGGACTGTGGCAGTCTAGCACTCTGATAGAACACAATACAGTTTTGAAAGGGCCAAGTAAAAGCGGTTGTACTCTAGTAAGAAATGTTATTCTTTCAATTTTGTTTGAAAAAAAAAAAAAAGAAAATGGATTTTCCAGGGCAATACTTTTGAATCTGCTATGTTCTCGACAATATTCTTCAATCCGCTTTGTGCTGCGCCTGTGTTCCTGTGTATTGACATAAACCCTCAAGAAAGTGTTCATGTATACGCCCTCACGTTCTTAAGGGATCTAGCAGTAGGTGATGCGTCAATAGGTATGACGTCAGAGTTTTCGAAACTTGCCTTGCTGCGGTGCACAGAAAACACACGTTCGCGAGAACGTTTTAGAAACTTCGGGTCTTTATCTTTTTATTGTGGGGTGAAGTCCAAAACGAATAAAATTGTATGTTCTTTTTAAACCAAACCAATTAGTGAGAATAGCGTCTTACATCTACTCTTAAATATTCTTTGTTGTATTATAGTTTGCAATATAAAGTATGAAAAAGTTGGGTGTTTTGTCGATAAGTTGGCCAACAGCCAAGAGCTTGCACTGCCGGAAAAGATTCTTAACGAAAACCAGCTGGTTAAATGGGATAAATGGAATTCTTGGCTACCAGAGTTTGTCTGCAGGTGCGCCAATATAGTCCACAAAAAGAACTACCAGGTCTTTGGGATTCGAAACTTTGGTTGGTATATTTGTATTTTTATCTTGTTTTTCATAATACGTCAAAATAAATGTTTTGAACCGTCTAAAATTCGAAACAAGCCAAAAATCAAACATCTCCTTTAAAGCGCCTTGGTAAAAAGCTATGGTAAGTTAACATCGACTCGCTTTATTCATATCACACAAACCTGATTAGAACGAGCGAGATCAAAAGATTTTGCTAATTAATCGTGGTGCTAAACCCAAAAAACCATCGCTGTATAGCTGGCGATAGCGATCATATCTGAATGGATCTTAAGTTCAAGTTTTAAGCTTCAAGTTTACTTTGCAAAACAGAAAAAAAAGTTTTACAAAGAGTGTTTTACAAAGTAAGAGTTTTATAAAGGAGAAAAACGTAAGTCAAGAAAAGAAAACAATCTTTACAATTGCATATATGTGCTTACAAACGTAAAAAAGAAAGAAAAGAAATAATGGGGGTATCTTGCATGATCTACTTTTTGTTATTTAATCCAGTTTAAGATTAACCATGATTTTGTAATTATCTACAAAGTTATCTTCGGTTTTCAAAATATATCTAATGCTCCGCAGTCCTTTAAGTTATTTATATATATTTTTTGTAAGTTGTCAGTATGTGTCAAGCCCTCCCAGTTATATGCCCATCAACATGTACATGCAAACAAAAACACATCTCATTATAGCCCCCTCCAGGATATTAATAGAGACGGAGTTTAAGCTCCACGTATACGGCAAACGGCAAACGTCAGATTCAAGCTGAGAATTTCTTCTTTCTGATTTCTTGAGCTTTTTGACAATGGAGTATTATTCTCCTTTCATTATTCGCGTATTAGGCTGGTGACTGTTCTGTTCTTGGTAACCATTGTGTTTGATGAGTTAAGACCAAATGTCTCGTGTATTCACACGAAACTGATCATTGCTTGTCGTGTTTGCTGCGGGAGCAAGAACAGTAAAAATGTTTTATTTCGCTCGATAATGATATCATTTGAAAATAAGCGTCTCGACTTGAAAATTTCCTGTAAACAAAGTAATTCACTTTGGACCATGCTGAGAAGCGCTACCTACTTCTGATTGTTGACGTCATCGGATTAGTTAGGAAATTGGCAGGTGTAATACAAAAAGGCCAGCTCTTATGGCAGGGGTTCTCTTTCCTCTTCCCTTTCCTTCTTTTTTCCTTTCCTCTTCCCCTCCCCTTCTTGCGGCTGCACGCAAGCCAGCAGTTTACGGTATGGTATCTTGCTCCATACCTTTACATACAACGACACGAGAGAAAGCTTAAAATGATCATTCTTGTGAANTTATTCGCGTATTAGGCTGGTGACTGTTCTGTTCTTGGTAACCATTGTGTTTGATGAGTTAAGACCAAATGTCTCGTGTATTCACACGAAACTGATCATTGCTTGTCGTGTTTGCTGCGGGAGCAAGAACAGTAAAAATGTTTTATTTCGCTCGATAATGATATCATTTGAAAAAAAACGTCTCGACTTGAAAATTTCCTGTAAACAAAGTAATTCACTTTGGACCATGCTGAGAAGCGCTACCTACTTCTGATTGTTGACGTCATCGGATTAGTTAGGAAATTGGCAGGTGTAATACAAAAAGGCCAGCTCTTATGGCAGGGGTTCTCTTTCCTCTTCCCTTTCCTTCTTTTTTCCTTTCCTCTTCCCCTCCCCTTCTTGCGGCTGCACGCAAGCCAGCAGTTTACGGTATGGTATCTTGCTCCATACCTTTACATACAACGACACGAGAGAAAGCTTAAAATGATCATTCTTGTGAATTTCAAAATAAGGGTGCTGTTCTATGTACCCATGCTTTTTTTAATGAAGATACAATAGAAGGATTGATACCTTGTACATTTCCATAATCTACACTTACGCAGATTGGATGAGGGACACGTTACTTAACAGTACTGTCAAAGTAGATAGCTCACATTCTTTTCCGGTCGTTATTTGTTCTTCTGAAAACATTTCATTTTGTCGTTTGCTTGGATTGACGTAAATCGGATGTCAGACAATTGCATACAGGCAACAAACACGAGGCAACTTTAATTATTGTCATCACTTCTGTAGTTCGTGCAAGTTGATGTTACGCGAGATCTGTTAGATATATTTCTCCAACCCTTTTTTATTAGTCCTATGGCTCCTATAATTACTGGAATTTTTGTGGCCGTCATTCTCTCATTTGTTCATTCTCTATTTTAAGGTCTTTATAGACATATCAGAGAGCAGGCAGCTCATAGTCATCATCACTATCATCATCATCATTATTATTATTATTATGATTAAATATTATTATTGGTAACGTATTTTCTTTATCTTTAATCGGTTAGTTGGCAATTAGCATAGGCTAATCGTGGCAATGGGATTGAATTTTGATCGCTAACCGGCTGATACAGTACTCAACTGGTTAACTAGACATCTCTTTATATTACTATTATATTAATGTGTAGGAGATTGTTGGTCTGGAAGGAACGCTGCTGATACTTACAACGATTTTGGACCTTCTGAACGGTGTCTTAACACCCTTCAGCAGCCGTGTGATGCCAACAGTGTAGGTGATTGTGCTGGTGATCAAAGCTCCAATTACGTCTATCGCATTATACTTACAGAAGGTCAGTCAAATGAACAGTGAAAGTTGCGTTCAAGTTTTGATGAGCCATAGTGTAAAGGTTTGAGTAAAATGGCGATATTACTAGTAGGGTTTAAAAGAGAACTGAAAAAATACAAAGACATGCATAGTGGGTAAAGCTGGGTAAACAGAAAATGTAAACCAACCATCATCTCTCCAGGCTTGGCAAATTTTCTCTCCCCCCACCCTTTTATCTACAGTTTCTCTTTTTTTGTTAATAATTCTGTTGATGCTGTACCTGATTCCTAAAGGTAGCCCCAAAGTAGCACCATTATTCATTTTTATCAAAAAAAGTTATCCTTTACAGTATAATTGATTTTGATATGTATGGTTGTCTCATTTATTGGTCTACTCTGATTTCAGCTCAGACGGATAAAGCACCTGGTCCGTTATATTCCAAGGACAGTCAGCAAGGAAAGTTGTACGGTAAGGTACCCTCCTGCACTGCATTGATTAACGTTCTATTTCATATTACTAGCATAAGTCAACATGTCTGCGTTCTAGAGAGAGTTGAAGGGAATTGTTAACCAGGCCTGGTTACCATTGCTATTATACCATGCATTACTGACAATGCCCACACAAAAACTAAGAAAAACTTTGTAATCTGGAAACAAATAAAAGAAAACAGAAATGCAGTACTGTTTCATTTTTCATAAAAAAACTGTGTCCGGCCGAATCTTTAAAAGTGCCCATAACTTATTTATTTTTTAAAATTATAATTGAAAGTACACAATACTAGAAAAACTCTGCGAATAGAATTGTTTAGAAAAGTCCAAATTTACAGCCATTTGGCTCTTCATCCGCCATTTTGGCCCTTCTTTCGCAAACCTCTCGAAAACAAAGAAACTTTGACGTAGATTAAGGAACCAAGAGGCAAATTAAGGAACGCTTGACTTAATATACGAGTAAACAAGTGTGGAGAAAGAAAGGTAAACTATGCTAGGAAGATGCGTTTGCTGAATTTGCTTCTCATGACGTCACATATGAGCCAGTTACTTTCGTGATCAGTAGAATGGGTGTGCCGAAGTAATATAAACGTTAAAAATTTCTGAAAATATATTATTTTCTTCAAAACTCAAAACTTTTTTGCATTATAAGTAACTGAATTTCTGCCTGTGAAGTATTTCTTTTTCCCTTTTCTTCAGATAATTGTCCCGTGGATTTCATAAAGAGAGGTTGTTACAATAATTTACTAAATGCGAGACCTTTACCACAACCTCTGTTCACTGATCTCGATGAAAGCAGTCCCGATTTTAGTGGTTTTGCCATAAACTGGGGAAACTGGGATAGCCATTTGGATGATATGGTTTGTCGTTGTGCACAGCTTTCAAAAGGAAAGGGATTCGGTAATTTTGGAATAGCTAACTTCGGTGAGTATCGCGACGTACTGTGTTTCCCTGTCATTTTAATCTCCTTAAAAATGGTCATTTATGGCCTTTTTTTACATTATCGCAGGTGAATGCTGGTCAGGAGGACGAGCCGATAGACCGTACGATGAATACGATCCATCTGAATTCTGTATCACTAAAGAATTCGCCTTGTGTGATGCAAATGATCAGAATGCATGTGGTGGAAATAAAACAACTACTTTTGTTTACAGCATTAAAGAGAAGCTCGAGACACATCAAGGTAAAAGATATTAAAAGTGTTCCTTCTACTGAGACACTGGACGAATCATACGCAGTAGCAGATCATCTAATCACNGTATCACTAAAGAATTCGCCTTGTGTGATGCAAATGATCAGAATGCATGTGGTGGAAATAAAACAACTACTTTTGTTTACAGCATTAAAGAGAAGCTCGAGACACATCAAGGTAAAAGATATTAAAAGTGTTCCTTCTACTGAGACACTGGACGAATCATACGCAGTAGCAGATCATCTAATCACTTGAACTTTGCCTCGGTATGAAACAACTAACATGACACAATTGAAAAGATCAACGTAAAAAGTCAATTGTCATGTAGACTTTAAATTCTGATTAACTAAATGTATTTGTTTTTGTTTGGCAGGGAGGACTTGTTTCACCCACTTCGAAAATATGGGTTGCTACGCTGATAAGCAACTTTCTCTGCGCCCATTGCCTGACCTCATATTTACGGATATGGAAGAGCTTTCTCCAAAGTCCAGTGGAAAGGAGGCAAAACTTGGTGAACTCGACATGTATCTTAGTGATGTGTTATGCAGGTGCGCCGAGCAAGCACAGCAGCTTGGCTATAAATACTTTGGAGTCCAAAACCACGGTAAGGCCGTTTATATAGTACGATTCCGATGTAAAAAGAAAGGATAGTGACATTTTTATTTTAAGGTGTTAGGCAAGAACATTTTATAGAAAAAGCTTAGTTTATTCTATTGTTTTGAAAATCTGCCTGACGAAGGGAGATGGTTTCAACATCCTGAAAAAAAATTGAGAGTTTTGGATATAATCAGATAAATGGCAGCTTTTTAATTCCAACGTAGCCCCAACTAGTAAGACTATAATTAACGTTAGTTTTTTGTTATTAAATTTAAAAGGCGAGTGCTACAGTGGGCCAAGTACCCAGATGGACTATAGCAGGGATGGGCCATCCAATCAGTGCATTACAAGAGACTTCAATGAGTGTCCAGCAAAGGAAAATCAGGACGATTGCGTTGGAGCTCAAGGTGCTAATTACGTCTACCGAATTATTGGTCTAGGGGAAGAGCAGGAAATGGAACGAAAAGATTCTAGGAACTTTCGTCTTAGAAAACATCCAGTGGCAGACAAGAACGGAGGTTGACCCTGGTTGTGGATACCAATAGCTGTCAAAATAACAAAAAAGTATACTATCTATCTCTATAGGACGCTAGTAAATGAGGCCTTTTGCTGCTCTATTGTGCCTGTCAGTGGACGAAAAGAAGCCGATTGCTGGTGTCTTGGGTTAACAATGATACAACGTAGAGTGTTATAGGCTTGCTGTAAAGAAAAGAATTCTGTGCTTAGCAGGCAATGGTAATACCCAGTGCAGGCGACATAGTGTATACCTACTCTAAGCAAACTACATTCTGAGGTTTCTTTGTTGTTCCCGTGAGAAGAAGAGAGCCAAACATAACTCAGGTCAAATCCCTCTTGAGTTCAGTTTTGGAGACAATCGGCAGGGCAGTGTCATTCTATTTCTAAAGTTTGCAACAAAATATCAGCAAACTAGGAAATGTAAAGAGTGCAACTTTAAACTCCAAAGAGTGTAGGTACAATACAAGTTGTGAATTTATTGACCTGTTGCTGAACATTTATTCTTTTATATCCTTTATAATCCGTTTCACTAGTTTCTTGAGCCTGAGCGCGTGCAAAGTTTATATTAAGAATTTTTACTTTAAAAGGAGGCCAGTGAGGCTAATTAGCGCTTCTCTTTATTTTTTATCCATTTTTTTTTCGTGTTTTCCTTATACAATCTGTAACAAAAGGAAGTACATGAGGGGAAGAAATGTGGCCGTAAGAGATAAACAAATGCCTTCAAAACTTTTACTTGTCTGTAAGAAAACGCGACGGCTGTTCGGTCATTTGCGCGCCAATATTGCAATCGTTGACAGCAGTAGATGAGTTAAAAACAATCAGTTTTGTGCTCAATTATTCACCTCAGTGTCGGTGGCTAGTGGTGAATGTTTACGCTGGTCAGTAATTTCCGCCACTGGCCACCTCCACTTCAGTGGATAACTGGTATATATCCTAAAAATCAGATGAATAGAAAACTGTCAGGGATAAAAAGTAGGTGCACAATATTTCTTGGCTCAAAATGATTTGCTTTCCCTCTTCAGTTTGCGCGACGTTTTTATGCCTAGAAGATTGCGAATTGGATGTGACTATTAAGGCCATTGTTACTTTGGCATAGTTCGTTTTTGCAGTTTTATGGACAGAGACGAAGTCGAGGGCAATAAAAATAAACAAAGAACGAGGCCAATATCAAACCACCTTGACCGAGCTTGGTAAATATAGGATTTATTATAAGGCTACAGGGAAAACTTTTTCTCGCGGGACCAACGTGGGAAATCTCGAGCGGGAAAGATTGACCCATCATGCCTGCCCGGGTAGTCTGTCAGAAGTCAGGGTTCGCTTCATCTTCGGATATGGCCATATGAAAATTTCATGTACAGTACTGACAATCTACAATGGAGATCAAAAGTGTAGGAGTAGTTGAGATGATCATGGCCCTACCCCAGGCAATGTTCATGGGTACAAACAAGTTAATGTGTTTTTGCACAACATTGCTCATGGGGCGAAGGGGAATGAAACGATGAAGGAGAAGAGGCGGAGAAGAGTCCTTAGTAATGTTTCCTCGAACAGTTTACCTGGTGGTTCCAAGTTTTTTTGATCCCCATTGTATGTTAAAAGAGATCAAATTAAAGGTACATCTCTTCTACATGGCTAAAACAGTTGCCTCCCGATGAGAACGCTTCTGGGTACCAACCTTTGCTAGATACGACCTAGTAAAATTCATTAAATTACGAAATATGATTGGTTATCGAAACCGAAGCGCTCCAGATTCTCCAGCCACTTAGTGTAAGAAGTGGGTGGGACAAAGCTTGTGGTCCGTGTGTTATGTTACTTTCCTGTGACTTCCAACGTAAAGTTTCAGCAATACCAGCCATAAATAAACCAAATGAAGAAGATAAAAAAAAAAAACAGCTTCAAAGGTAAACAAATCTGAATGGTCGGGTCGAATCTCACTTTTTATCACTCACAGTTTACCTACTGCACATTTCGTTCTTTTACTTGAGTGTTGTCATAAAATTTAATGGAATGGACCATGAAAAGTAAAATACAATGAGATGCACAAAGCCTTACGTAATAAGCGCGTCAAGTGTAAAATTTCAAGTAGTAGATTGACTCTCGCGTAAGTTAAATCTTGCTTTGTAACCCGCGAGTTGTTATTTTGTTATGCGAGTTGTTGTTTTGTTATTTTGCCAACTTGTACGGATTGAGTTAAACAAATGACCACCATTTCCCACTTCGTCTGCCTTTGTTGTGTTCTTCAATCTGTGATTTGGCCCGTGAAAGGAACATATTATATTAAGCCAACAGGTAAGTTTTAAATTTAATTTGTTGTTCTAAATAATAAGAAGCAGATGTCGGAAAGGTGTGTTAATGCACCGCAAAAAACAAATCGTGAAATACAGGAAGCAGCTTATAGCATTTGAACTTTTTTTGCTTTAATTCTATTCTGACAGATTTTAATTAAGTTAAATTCACTTCAGGGATAATGGTTCCTTATTATCTATCCCGCGGTGAACTCCTCAAGTGTTAAACCTCAATTAACTTTCTTGGTCTGCTTGAAAAGTTCACCCACCGACACAAGCAAGGAAGTTTCTTTGTAGGGAAGTGAAAGCCGAACTCCACAGAAAAAAGTGAATGTAATGGCCAACTTTATTATTTTTACAATTTTATCAATGGTGACAGGAATAATCTCTGACTGTCAATAGCTTTTATGGGAAAGGCGTCCATTCAGGTTGTTGTTGCAGACCTAGCTAGCTGCAATAACAAGCCTTAGCTGATTCTGGAAATGGAAGCCGATGACACCGTTTTCATTGTCGCTGAAATTCCTAACAAACAGCTGTTTTAGGAAGACCTCGAAATGTTGTACGCTTTTTTCCAAAGGGATTGCATATTGAGCGTTATTCAGTAGTTTTGCACCTCGATAAGCACGTTAAGCAAAACAATCAAACAAACAAAAGGATATTAAAATATTAAGATTTAAGATATTAATAAGCCAGATAACCAATCAAACAATCAAATACGGTGAATTCGAAGGACTAACTCCAAAATTCGGGCCCTCATAGGAAATGGACACCTATACTTCAGTGTGTCCAATCTTTAATCCAAAATAACAAAGCCAAAATTAAAACCAAGTAAAGGTACCTGATAAACACAGGTAATGTCTCTGCTTATTCACCATTAAATCCGTCCTGTCCCTTTTTAAGATAAAATTTACTTGTCCTCTTTTGATGGAAAATTTAGAGCTCCAGCTTGAGGTCTGAAGGCTGCGTAGGGCTATTCATGAGCTTTTTTTGTCAATTACGCTTGAGCTAAGAATTAATGAGAACAAGAACAACACAAACAAACCAACCACCGAAAACACGCTTTTTGGAAAGTAGAAATTAGCGTAGGGGCAATTCCGCCTTAGATGTTAATTGTAAAAGAAATAACCAAGTTAAATAAATAGCTTGTGTAATTTGATTGTTTCTTTTGATATGCAGGCCGATATGAGATTACGGAGATACCGCTACCTTCGTCAGTTATTGAGCAGCTAGAGCAAAACAATAGATATTCACCAGTACAAGGTCCTGTGACACCGACCGGTGTGATGATTCAAACAGCTCCAACTATACATATACAAGTACCAAAACCAGGTATTGTTAAAAATCATTTAATCGATCTATTACTGATGAATCATTTTGTTGACCTTGCTGTGATTCCAGTTCAACTAACCTTCAGCTCGCTGAGACTTAAGATAGTCACAGTTATTACATCTCAGTAGTTGAGCATGTTAGCATTTCTTTTTTTTTTGTATAAATGGAATCATTGAAATTGGTGAATAGGAGATTTTGAACATCAATGGAATGTATTTCATAAATGCACCTTTCATTGAGAGAGTTTCAAATCTCATTTAAATGTTTTTCAAGCTTGGAAAATACCGTAACGTAATTTCGAATCTAATGGTCAAAACCTAGAAGAGAAAGAGGTTTTTTTCCAAAGTTGCGAATCATGAAGGCACTATTTTTGCTATAGCCCAAGATTTAGATTTCAAATGTTTGAAAATATTTAACAGAGCTTTCATCACAATGTAAAAAACTATTTTCCTGGTTTTTATTTAGTTTCATGCCCCCCACCCGCTACCTGTCCATGTCCATGTCCACAGCCTTCCCACACAGGAAATTTGGCGTCCTCTCTGCGTCCACTTCCCAGGAATGACAACGAGACCAAGAACTGTCCATCTCTGTGTATTTGTGTTTGTACCGACGCTATTCAAACTAAAATCAAATTTCCAAACGTCCCTGGAGGTCAGATTCCAGTAATCAGACCTTCTAAATCTGGTTTGGAGCCAAGTTTTAGTTCCGTAACATCCCCAAGCCAGTTTAGGGGTACAGTGGTTCCCAGTGTACAAACAGCAGCTGGTGTCACTCCCAAGATTCAAATGCCATCATCCAGCTCAACGGTCTCTTACATCGTCCAACAAAGCCCTAGCTACCTCACTTGCACTAGTATTGGAGGTACTAATTTCTGTAGTAGTTAACAGTTAACAATTAGATTGTTTTGAGAGACTCTTGAATCAGTCAAGACCTAGTACTCGGGCATTGTTACAGAGCAACCCAAATTTCAGTTTTTATGAGTTAAAAACAATCAGTTTTGTGCTCAATTATTCACCTCAGTGTCGGTGGCTAGTGGTGAATGTTTACGCTGGTCAGTAATTTCCGCCACTGGCCACCTCCACTTCAGTGGATAACTGGTATATATCCTAAAAATCAGATGAATAGAAAACTGTCAGGGATAAAAAGTAGGTGCACAATATTTCTTGGCTCAAAATGATTTGCTTTCCCTCTTCAGTTTGCGCGACGTTTTTATGCCTAGAAGATTGCGAATTGGATGTGACTATTAAGGCCATTGTTACTTTGGCATAGTTCGTTTTTGCAGTTTTATGGACAGAGACGAAGTCGAGGGCAATAAAAATAAACAAAGAACGAGGCCAATATCAAACCACCTTGACCGAGCTTGGTAAATATAGGATTTATTATAAGGCTACAGGGAAAACTTTTTCTCGCGGGACCAACGTGGGAAATCTCGAGCGGGAAAGATTGACCCATCATGCCTGCCCGGGTAGTCTGTCAGAAGTCAGGGTTCGCTTCATCTTCGGATATGGCCATATGAAAATTTCATGTACAGTACTGACAATCTACAATGGAGATCAAAAGTGTAGGAGTAGTTGAGATGATCATGGCCCTACCCCAGGCAATGTTCATGGGTACAAACAAGTTAATGTGTTTTTGCACAACATTGCTCATGGGGCGAAGGGGAATGAAACGATGAAGGAGAAGAGGCGGAGAAGAGTCCTTAGTAATGTTTCCTCGAACAGTTTACCTGGTGGTTCCAAGTTTTTTTGATCCCCATTGTATGTTAAAAGAGATCAAATTAAAGGTACATCTCTTCTACATGGCTAAAACAGTTGCCTCCCGATGAGAACGCTTCTGGGTACCAACCTTTGCTAGATACGACCTAGTAAAATTCATTAAATTACGAAATATGATTGGTTATCGAAACCGAAGCGCTCCAGATTCTCCAGCCACTTAGTGTAAGAAGTGGGTGGGACAAAGCTTGTGGTCCGTGTGTTATGTTACTTTCCTGTGACTTCCAACGTAAAGTTTCAGCAATACCAGCCATAAATAAACCAAATGAAGAAGATAAAAAAAAAAAACAGCTTCAAAGGTAAACAAATCTGAATGGTCGGGTCGAATCTCACTTTTTATCACTCACAGTTTACCTACTGCACATTTCGTTCTTTTACTTGAGTGTTGTCATAAAATTTAATGGAATGGACCATGAAAAGTAAAATACAATGAGATGCACAAAGCCTTACGTAATAAGCGCGTCAAGTGTAAAATTTCAAGTAGTAGATTGACTCTCGCGTAAGTTAAATCTTGCTTTGTAACCCGCGAGTTGTTATTTTGTTATGCGAGTTGTTGTTTTGTTATTTTGCCAACTTGTACGGATTGAGTTAAACAAATGACCACCATTTCCCACTTCGTCTGCCTTTGTTGTGTTCTTCAATCTGTGATTTGGCCCGTGAAAGGAACATATTATATTAAGCCAACAGGTAAGTTTTAAATTTAATTTGTTGTTCTAAATAATAAGAAGCAGATGTCGGAAAGGTGTGTTAATGCACCGCAAAAAACAAATCGTGAAATACAGGAAGCAGCTTATAGCATTTGAACTTTTTTTGCTTTAATTCTATTCTGACAGATTTTAATTAAGTTAAATTCACTTCAGGGATAATGGTTCCTTATTATCTATCCCGCGGTGAACTCCTCAAGTGTTAAACCTCAATTAACTTTCTTGGTCTGCTTGAAAAGTTCACCCACCGACACAAGCAAGGAAGTTTCTTTGTAGGGAAGTGAAAGCCGAACTCCACAGAAAAAAGTGAATGTAATGGCCAACTTTATTATTTTTACAATTTTATCAATGGTGACAGGAATAATCTCTGACTGTCAATAGCTTTTATGGGAAAGGCGTCCATTCAGGTTGTTGTTGCAGACCTAGCTAGCTGCAATAACAAGCCTTAGCTGATTCTGGAAATGGAAGCCGATGACACCGTTTTCATTGTCGCTGAAATTCCTAACAAACAGCTGTTTTAGGAAGACCTCGAAATGTTGTACGCTTTTTTCCAAAGGGATTGCATATTGAGCGTTATTCAGTAGTTTTGCACCTCGATAAGCACGTTAAGCAAAACAATCAAACAAACAAAAGGATATTAAAATATTAAGATTTAAGATATTAATAAGCCAGATAACCAATCAAACAATCAAATACGGTGAATTCGAAGGACTAACTCCAAAATTCGGGCCCTCATAGGAAATGGACACCTATACTTCAGTGTGTCCAATCTTTAATCCAAAATAACAAAGCCAAAATTAAAACCAAGTAAAGGTACCTGATAAACACAGGTAATGTCTCTGCTTATTCACCATTAAATCCGTCCTGTCCCTTTTTAAGATAAAATTTACTTGTCCTCTTTTGATGGAAAATTTAGAGCTCCAGCTTGAGGTCTGAAGGCTGCGTAGGGCTATTCATGAGCTTTTTTTGTCAATTACGCTTGAGCTAAGAATTAATGAGAACAAGAACAACACAAACAAACCAACCACCGAAAACACGCTTTTTGGAAAGTAGAAATTAGCGTAGGGGCAATTCCGCCTTAGATGTTAATTGTAAAAGAAATAACCAAGTTAAATAAATAGCTTGTGTAATTTGATTGTTTCTTTTGATATGCAGGCCGATATGAGATTACGGAGATACCGCTACCTTCGTCAGTTATTGAGCAGCTAGAGCAAAACAATAGATATTCACCAGTACAAGGTCCTGTGACACCGACCGGTGTGATGATTCAAACAGCTCCAACTATACATATACAAGTACCAAAACCAGGTATTGTTAAAAATCATTTAATCGATCTATTACTGATGAATCATTTTGTTGACCTTGCTGTGATTCCAGTTCAACTAACCTTCAGCTCGCTGAGACTTAAGATAGTCACAGTTATTACATCTCAGTAGTTGAGCATGTTAGCATTTCTTTTTTTTTTGTATAAATGGAATCATTGAAATTGGTGAATAGGAGATTTTGAACATCAATGGAATGTATTTCATAAATGCACCTTTCATTGAGAGAGTTTCAAATCTCATTTAAATGTTTTTCAAGCTTGGAAAATACCGTAACGTAATTTCGAATCTAATGGTCAAAACCTAGAAGAGAAAGAGGTTTTTTTCCAAAGTTGCGAATCATGAAGGCACTATTTTTGCTATAGCCCAAGATTTAGATTTCAAATGTTTGAAAATATTTAACAGAGCTTTCATCACAATGTAAAAAACTATTTTCCTGGTTTTTATTTAGTTTCATGCCCCCCACCCGCTACCTGTCCATGTCCATGTCCACAGCCTTCCCACACAGGAAATTTGGCGTCCTCTCTGCGTCCACTTCCCAGGAATGACAACGAGACCAAGAACTGTCCATCTCTGTGTATTTGTGTTTGTACCGACGCTATTCAAACTAAAATCAAATTTCCAAACGTCCCTGGAGGTCAGATTCCAGTAATCAGACCTTCTAAATCTGGTTTGGAGCCAAGTTTTAGTTCCGTAACATCCCCAAGCCAGTTTAGGGGTACAGTGGTTCCCAGTGTACAAACAGCAGCTGGTGTCACTCCCAAGATTCAAATGCCATCATCCAGCTCAACGGTCTCTTACTTCGCCCAACAAAGCCCTAGCTACCTCACTTGCACTAGTATTGGAGGTACTAATTTCTGTAGTAGTTAACAGTTAACAATTAGATTGTTTTGAGAGACTCTTGAATCAGTCAAGACCTAGTACTCGGGCATTGTTACAGAGCAACCCAAATTTCAGTTTTTTTCTATTTGCTGTATTTATCTTAACACCAGTTCAACTACAAATCTAAGCTATCTTAGGGTTTAGATTCATTCTAAAGTATCTTTAGTGGTTTAACATGTAAGGTAGATTACACTTTTTACAGCGAAAACTTTTATACATTCCATCACTGACAGAAAAGGTTTAACTGTGAAAGGTTTGAACCCGGGATTCATTTCATAAGTCGGTGAAGCATGATTGTCCGAGAGATCGTAGTCCAGAATAGGACTGTCCTTGACAGTGACTGGCCTTTCAACTTTTCCCTTGGGACTGAATACTTTGGACAATGCAAGAGAAAATGAAGAATGCAGAGTTAAAAACAGGGCAGAATCTATCGTTGAGGGGAATTTGCCGGATTGTATCTTCCAGGTCGTCGTTGGCCTACCCTCTTACTGTTAAAAGATTACTAAGATATTGTTTAGCCAAACCGCATATACATTTAAAAGCAAGCATTGCAATCCTAAAATTAATTCTAAACCTAATCCCAAGTTAATGAAGCCTAAAGAAGTAACGGAGTAATATGGCTATGTTTTGGCATATAACTCGGACTGCCGCGTTTTGCAAGCGCTGTAGTTTCGAGAGATGGACTGCGGGAACACCATACAATAAAATGTTACAGCCTGTACCAAGCACTTAGTAATGCCATACTTAAAAACTTTCTATTACATCTTATATTATGCAAATGGTATAGTACGGATTGACAGGGTTACGTATACCAATCACAATGAATTCCGTCTTGTCCCCTTTAAGTTTCATCTTATCTACCGTCATCCACGTTCTAATGTCCTAAATACAATTCTGAGCAGCATAAATAGCATCCACTTGACTAGTATGTTAGTCAGGGCTAAATGATAAATATAACTGTGTATCATCTACATTAGCATGTACTTCCGGAAGATGGTTTCTTTTTTCACTTCAAAAAGCTTGCTGGCGTATATTGTAAAGAGCAGAGGTCCGAGGCAAGAAACCTGAGGGACACCAAACCGCAAGTCGAAGGTATCTGGGTAACCGCCATTAATAAATATACGCTGGGATCTGCCTCCAATGTAGGATCCAAAACATTGCAGAGAAGTGCCAGATGCCCCGAAACTAGACTCCTTACGTCTAAAGAGCACTTCCTGGTAAACCGTATCAAATGCGGCGCTTAAATCAAGCAGAACCCACAAACTCTCTTTTGGTCCATGTTTGACTGAATGTCAATGTGTTCTTTAAGTAGAGCCGTTTCAATACAATGGAACTTCCTATATGCTGATTGCAATAAAGGATATGACGAAAACTGTTCCATGTGACTGTGAACCATGAAAAGTAAAATACAATGAGATGCACAAAGCCTTACGTAATAAGCGCGTCAAGTGTAAAATTTCAAGTAGTAGATTGACTCTCGCGTAAGTTAAATCTTGCTTTGTAACCCGCGAGTTGTTATTTTGTTATGCGAGTTGTTGTTTTGTTATTTTGCCAACTTGTACGGATTGAGTTAAACAAATGACCACCATTTCCCACTTCGTCTGCCTTTGTTGTGTTCTTCAATCTGTGATTTGGCCCGTGAAAGGAACATATTATATTAAGCCAACAGGTAAGTTTTAAATTTAATTTGTTGTTCTAAATAATAAGAAGCAGATGTCGGAAAGGTGTGTTAATGCACCGCAAAAAACAAATCGTGAAATACAGGAAGCAGCTTATAGCATTTGAACTTTTTTTGCTTTAATTCTATTCTGACAGATTTTAATTAAGTTAAATTCACTTCAGGGATAATGGTTCCTTATTATCTATCCCGCGGTGAACTCCTCAAGTGTTAAACCTCAATTAACTTTCTTGGTCTGCTTGAAAAGTTCACCCACCGACACAAGCAAGGAAGTTTCTTTGTAGGGAAGTGAAAGCCGAACTCCACAGAAAAAAGTGAATGTAATGGCCAACTTTATTATTTTTACAATTTTATCAATGGTGACAGGAATAATCTCTGACTGTCAATAGCTTTTATGGGAAAGGCGTCCATTCAGGTTGTTGTTGCAGACCTAGCTAGCTGCAATAACAAGCCTTAGCTGATTCTGGAAATGGAAGCCGATGACACCGTTTTCATTGTCGCTGAAATTCCTAACAAACAGCTGTTTTAGGAAGACCTCGAAATGTTGTACGCTTTTTTCCAAAGGGATTGCATATTGAGCGTTATTCAGTAGTTTTGCACCTCGATAAGCACGTTAAGCAAAACAATCAAACAAACAAAAGGATATTAAAATATTAAGATTTAAGATATTAATAAGCCAGATAACCAATCAAACAATCAAATACGGTGAATTCGAAGGACTAACTCCAAAATTCGGGCCCTCATAGGAAATGGACACCTATACTTCAGTGTGTCCAATCTTTAATCCAAAATAACAAAGCCAAAATTAAAACCAAGTAAAGGTACCTGATAAACACAGGTAATGTCTCTGCTTATTCACCATTAAATCCGTCCTGTCCCTTTTTAAGATAAAATTTACTTGTCCTCTTTTGATGGAAAATTTAGAGCTCCAGCTTGAGGTCTGAAGGCTGCGTAGGGCTATTCATGAGCTTTTTTTGTCAATTACGCTTGAGCTAAGAATTAATGAGAACAAGAACAACACAAACAAACCAACCACCGAAAACACGCTTTTTGGAAAGTAGAAATTAGCGTATGGGCAACTCCGCCTTAGATGTTTTTTGTAAAAGAAATAACCAAGTTAAATAAATAGGTTGTGTAATTTGATTGTTTCTTTTGATATGCAGGCCGATATGAGATTACGGAGATACCGCTACCTTCGTCAGTTATTGAGCAGCTAGAGCAAAACAATAGATATTCACCAGTACAAGGTCCTGTAACACCGACTGGTGTGATGATTCAAACAGCTCCAACTATACATATACAAGTACCAAAACCAGGTATTGTTAAAAATCATTTAATCGATCTATTACTGATGAATCATTCTGTTGACCTTGCTGTGATTCCAGTTCAACTAACCTTCAGCTCGCTTAGACTTAAGATAGTCACAATTATTATATCTCGGTAGTTGAGCATGTTAGCATTTCTTTTTTTTTTTGTATAAATGGAATCATTGAAATTGGTGAATAGGAGATTTTGAACAACAATGGAATGTATTTCATAAATGCACCTTTCATTGAGAGAGTTTCAAAACTCATTTAAATGTTTTTCAAGCTTGGAAAATACCGTAACGTAATTTCGAATCTAATGGTCAAAACCTAGAAGAGAAGGAGGTTTTTTCCAAAGTTGCGAATCATGAAGGCACTATTTTTGCTATAGCCCAAGATTTAGATTTCAAATGTTTGAAAATATTTAACAGAGCTTTCATCACAATGTAAAAAAACTATTTTCCTGGTTTTTATTTAGTTTCATGCCCCCCACCCGCTACCTGTCCATGTCCATGTCCACAGCCTTCCCACACAGGAAATTTGGCGTCCTCTCTGCGTCCACTTCCCAGGAATGACAACGAGACCAAGAACTGTCCATCTCTGTGTATTTGTGTTTGTACCGACGCTATTCAAACTAAAATCAAATTTCCAAACGTCCCTGGAGGTCAGATTCCAGTAATCAGACCTTCTAAATCTGGTTTGGAGCCAAGTTTTAGTTCCGTAACATCCCCAAGCCAGTTTAGGGGTACAGTGGTTCCCAGTGTACAAACAGCAGCTGGTGTCACTCCCAAGATTCAAATGCCATCATCCAGCTCAACGGTCTCTTACATCGCCCAACAAAGCCCTAGCTACCTCACTTGCACTAGTATTGGAGGTACTAATTTCTGTAGTAGTTAACAGTTAACAATTAGATTGTTTTGAGAGACTCTTGAATCAGTCAAGACCTAGTACTCGGGCATTGTTACAGAGCAACCCAAATTTCAGTTTTTTTCTATTTGCTGTATTTATCTTAACACCAGTTCAACTACAAATCTAAGCTATCTTAGGGTTTAGATTCATTCTAAAGTATCTTTAGTGGTTTAACATGTAAGGTAGATTACACTTTTTACAGCGAAAACTTTTATACATTCCATCACTGACAGAAAAGGTTTAACTGTGAAAGGTTTGAACCCGGGATTCATTTCATAAGTCGGTGAAGCATGATTGTCCGAGAGATCGTAGTCCAGAATAGGACTGTCCTTGACAGTGACTGGCCTTTCAACTTTTCCCTTGGGACTGAATACTTTGGACAATGCAAGAGAAAATGAAGAATGCAGAGTTAAAAACAGGGCAGAATCTATCGTTGAGGGGAATTTGCCGGATTGTATCTTCCAGGTCGTCGTTGGCCTACCCTCTTACTGTTAAAAGATTACTAAGATATTGTTTAGCCAAACCGCATATACATTTAAAAGCAAGCATTGCAATCCTAAAATTAATTCTAAACCTAATCCCAAGTTAATGAAGCCTAAAGAAGTAACGGAGTAATATGGCTATGTTTTGGCATATAACTCGGACTGCCGCGTTTTGCAAGCGCTGTAGTTTCGAGAGATGGACTGCGGGAACACCATACAATAAAATGTTACAGCCTGTACCAAGCACTTAGTAATGCCATACTTAAAAACTTTCTATTACATCTTATATTATGCAAATGGTATAGTACGGATTGACAGGGTTACGTATACCAATCACAATGAATTCCGTCTTGTCCCCTTTAAGTTTCATCTTATCTACCGTCATCCACGTTCTAATGTCCTAAATACAATTCTGAGCAGCATAAATAGCATCCACTTGACTAGTATGTTAGTCAGGGCTAAATGATAAATATAACTGTGTATCATCTACATTAGCATGTACTTCCGGAAGATGGTTTCTTTTTTCACTTCAAAAAGCTTGCTGGCGTATATTGTAAAGAGCAGAGGTCCGAGGCAAGAAACCTGAGGGACACCAAACCGCAAGTCGAAGGTATCTGGGTAACCGCCATTAATAAATATACGCTGGGATCTGCCTCCAATGTAGGATCCAAAACATTGCAGAGAAGTGCCAGATGCCCCGAAACTAGACTCCTTACGTCTAAAGAGCACTTCCTGGTAAACCGTATCAAATGCGGCGCTTAAATCAAGCAGAACCCACAAACTCTCTTTTGGTCCATGTTTGACTGAATGTCAATGTGTTCTTTAAGTAGAGCCGTTTCAATACAATGGAACTTCCTATATGCTGATTGCAATAAAGGATATGACGAAAACTGTTCCATGTGACTGTGAATTTGAGACAGCACGCTTAGTCAGTTTTGAAACGAACTGAAGATTTCTGACAGGTCTTATATCCTGAAACGAGTAGACATTACCAGGCTTCACGCGGACAGGCGAAACAAGTGGATTCTTCCATTCAGGTGGAAAATAACCTGAAGACAAAGACGATGACACGTAGAAGCTCATCTTGACAGTTCACAACCATTGATGCAGACATGGGGTCGAGTGGACTCCTTTTCTTAGCCGACATTTGTTCAAGCTGAATGACATCTTCGTGGGATAGCAGTTGGAAACCATGTAATTTGATCTCCTCAACTGCAGGTGTCTACTGGTAATCTGTTAGGTTCATTTGGATCAAGCTCCATACGGATTTTGTGAATCTTAAGGAAAAAGAATAGGCCGATGTCATTAGCAAGCAAACTTCTTGAGGCTGTCCAACCTAAAAGATCTTAATTTTCTGTGAGTAACCGTCCTAGCTGTCGTTGCAGTTACTTTTGCCAAAATCCTACAAACAACAGATCCATGATCAGAAAAGTAACCATCAACCTTGCGGGTGATGATAAGGTCAAGTGTGTGACCCTCACACACAAATGTCTTGTAGTCTCCTGTTCTGTAAACTTGGCAGTTCTGCTCTTTTTAGAAGTTTAGGGTAGCTAACATTGTTCCTAAAAACAGCACACAGGCCCCTTTCTTGCATCCGCTTGATTTTACGAGAATCACTGGCTCGGCAAAAGTGCCACACAAGGTGGCAATATATAAGGTGCGGCAATATTGCTGTTTTAAAAAACATAAGTTTAGCATTTGTCGGAATCAAGTTTCTAAGTCTCATAAGCACGCCAATTTTCTGACCGGCAATTTTACAGATCATGTTAATGTGCTCTGAAAAATTCAGCTTAGAATCTATTGTGACACCCAACAATTTGAGAGAGTCAGTTATACTAATATCATCTGATCACTTGGGTAGTGTTATTATCGCTTTAGTCGCTTTGGCCATGTCCGATGTTCATGGTTTGATATTTCTTCAAGTTCCCGGCTAGAAGATTTGAGTTGTACCAATTAGTGGCTTGCTGTGCACTTTCCTTAACCATTAATATAACAGAGGACTGATCCCGTCCTGTGTAATAGATCTCATGATGGTCCGCGTACATAGACAGGTTAGTTGTTACACAGAACGACAAATCGTTCTTGAATATATTCCAAAGTAAGGGACCTAGAGCGGATCCCTGTGGACAGCCTCGGTTAACAGTCCTACTTGAACTGACAAGGTCCCCAATCTTCACCCACTAATTGCGATCACACAGATAAGGAAGTTTTGTTTCTTTGTTTTACTTCAGCTGTGAGTAATATATTATATTACACCGGAGATGAGCCCATCATTCTTATGTAGCTGGATCTCAGTAATTGCAAGGAGGTAGAATTTCTTGTCACAACAAAATTTGGCGGGAACTTCGTGACGTCAATTCCCTGCCAAAACTGCCAAAATCTGAAAAACATACGTTTTTTTGGAATGGTGAGCTCTATGTTGTTTCAAAATTTCAACTGAATTGCGTTAAAACTAAAAAAGATGAATAACTAAAGGTGAGCGTTTTTGATGCCACATATGCCCACCGAAAACGTAATTCACCAAAAGTCCTCTGAGTTTTTCATCGTTTTCCATAGGTGTTAGCTGCATAAGTGGATAAGCTTGAAAGTGTGAAGGTGGCGGTCCAATCGATTTCATTGCTGTGTATACACCCGGATTTTCAGACAAGATTCGACGGTCATGATTCGACACTTATCACGTGACGCACGGCTTTGCAGTACGTGAACGGTTGCAAAAATAATGGCAGGCGAGAGTTCTGCCGTGGGATCCGAAACAGTGAGAAAGACATAAGCGCAACGAAGCTAGAATCCCTCTAAATGCGTTTTACCTGAACACGAAAGCTTTGTTGCGTGGAAGGCGGCGACTTGATACAGCATGATATGATAAACCTGGAGTTCGATTGCCGAGTTGGAATGTATTTGTAGGCGATTTCATAAATCGGCGGACGAAAGAATGTCAATTAGGCGAATGAAAGCGAAATAGTGCGATCTTCTAACGTTTTGTCTTCTTCCGTATGACAAGGTTTCGGTAGGTTGCTCTTTGAGAATACCAGCAGTAATGCAAATTTACTAAACAGGGAATCAATTTGTATTTCCTGAAGTTGGTACTTTTCCTCCTTACTTAGCTTCTGCATGGTTAAAAAATAACAGGAAGACTTGACGTTTTGCAGAATAAGTCAACAGATAAATTGATCAGTCTGCCGTTGTGAAAGAATTTACTGGAGAGTTTAACAGATTTGTTTTGTCGTCCTCGACCTACGACCCTAGTGAGCTCAAATTTTGCAAAGCAGATAAAGAAAACCTTGCATAAAAGAAAGCAACATTTGTTTTTATTGAAAAAGGGTAAAATATAATATTTCTTTAAAGATCAAGGTAGAAGCCTAATAAAAAGGTCGAGAAAAGAGCCCAAAAACTTATTGATCGAGACGTCGACACGGGCGATAACACCCTGTACTGTACTGCAATTAGATTATGTGACTTGTATGAGAGACTGTTGTCTGAAAAGGACAACAAATTATGGATTACAGTCCTCTTTTTCTGAATTACAAGAGAAACATTTTTTAAGCTATCATGAAAGTAAATTTCAAATTGTGTGCTTTGATTTCGGTAGGATATTCAAGGTAAAAACGTATACTGCTTGGTAACCTCTCGGTCGACTCATGTCTAAAAATCCGGGTGTATACACAGCACTGAAATCAGCTGTAATGCTGGTGTCATTAAATCCACAGTATCAGATTGACCAAGATGCACACAAGCAGCCGATTATATCAGTAATTTCTGGAACAACGTCTGTACTTTTCGGTAAAAACCCAGTCCAATCTGTGCTCCAAGTCTTTACAAAGGGAGAGGATTACTTGATTTGACCGTAGAGATATTTTGAAGTACCCGAAAAGAGAAAAAGAACGGAGAGCAGAAGGCCGTGTCGGCAGCTAATTAGCCATGACATGTAGTATGATGTACGGTATAGTCACTGTCGTAACAGGGCTAGATTTAACGTTAGTTTGAGTGTTGGCGAATTGGCGTTACCGTGAGTGTTCCGTGTAACGAAGTCCTTGTTGTAGTTGTTTTTGCTAAAAACGTTGTTTAGGTAGTCAGTCTCGTTTTGTACGCTGCCGGGTGAGTCGCAAACTAGTTGCGCTCGTCTCGTCAAAGTCCGACCTCTCACAAGGCCACATCAATACGAACTTTGACGATGCAGTCCATAACCAGAGTTTATAACACCATCAACTTACGTGATACAACTCATTTTGACCCTGAAGATGACTACAGCACAGGTTGTCGAAACATCAGTTCCGTCAACGACAGTCCTATTCATGACTACGATCACCAGGACGATCATGCTTTACTTTCTTAATATAGGTCAGTATTAATGTCATGCTTTGTATTTATTTTTCATCTACATAGCTATATAAAGAGAGAAATTCGATGTTGTTTATTGATTATTTAAGGAAAAGGTTTTTTTTACAGCTCAAGTACCAAGTGCATCACCGTGTTCAATTTCATCAATAACCCCTGCTATAGGTAAAT